CGCAAACTTTGGCACTTCAACCTTTCTTTAATAAAGTGCATGAACCCATAGCAACCAATCCGAAACCATCTCCAGCTAGGAGTAATTAAACATGAAAGAAAAGATGTCTATTCTCCCTCCTCTGCAGATCAGATTCAAGACTGGCTGGGGAAATGAGAGCCAAAATCGGAAGTTCTGAATCTGATTTACAAAGTGGGACAACACAGACATCCTTATTTCAGACACTTCAATAAATCAATCCATTGTTTTGGCCGAATTCACAAAAGCTGAAGTTACAAATACATTCAGCCCCACCAGTATCCTAGCTAACAGCCAGTGTCCATTCATTAATGTTTATGGTGACTTGGAGAAAAGTAGATCTGGGGGGCAGCCGACGCTCAAGACCAGCCCTGGGAGTCCAATGTGTGGAGTGGCCTCAGCACCGTACTAGCCACACTTGACTGACGCGTTTCGCTCCACCCATCCGGGCTTGGGCATCGACTCTGTGACCAAGCCCCAATGGATGGGGCGAAATGCGTCTGCGAGCACGGCTAGCGCACTACTGAGGCAGCTCTACACTGGACTCCCAGGGCTGGTCTTGAGCAGTGTCAACTCACCGTATCTCTTCCCAGACACTGGAACGGACTAAGGACGCTGCTCCCTTCATTCCCATGCCTGAGGGGGTGATCCTTTCTGCTTATCTGGCTTTGGAGTGGCACCATTCAGCTTTACACATGGTTTTTACTCTGTCTGGGCAACCTCAGACACCAAACATCAAGTCATTAGAAAGCAATGGATCTGTAGGACACACATGATTCAGGCCATGGTGTAAAAAAAAAAAAAAATAAAATCTCCCCTACTGCACTATTGTATCCTGACAGCTGGGGTTCCTTGATCAGAGCTGCAGCCATTGGCTGATTGAATGCTTGTTTTCCAGCATGATTCTTTGACAGAAACCAGTCTAACGGCTGACTTTTGTTGAACAGAGGAGTACACACATACTGAAAGTTGGTACATACTAGCATTTGGTATACATGTTGCAGACTTTAGACTATAGGGGTTACCCCTCTTGCCGCAAAATTTCCAAATGGTGTCTTTCCACATTATGTAGAATCCATTGCAAAGCAACGAGATCATCATTTGGCTTTGTAATAGGCAGGTTACTTTTGGAGGAACCAGGAAATTTACCTCTAAGATACCAAGTAAATGTAAAAGTGTAAAGTCAGCAGGAGGTTCAAACTACCACCAACAAAGCAAAGCTAGGATGTAGCTGGCCCCGATTACCCATCCTATTCTCTTCCATCATAAAATTCTCTTTAAAGGCCCACTGAACTCTCAGTTTAAATTGAATGTGTATGCTGCTGCTCCAGGTGGGTCCAGCAGATAGTCCCTTTCACCTCCTGTGTATTCAGGTACAAGCCCCGCTCATCCAGCCATACGGAACAAATGAAATAGGATCCACAGGGCTGCACATTTGAAAACTGCATCCACTTTAACCGGTTCCTGCCTGGCCTATGGCCGAATGGTGGCCGGCAAAAAGCCTCGTCCCTCCGGGTGGACGCCATATGGCGTCCTTTCAGGCATGCACAGTTTGCATGCCAGCAGAGCCGCGCAGTGGCGCGATCTGTCACCGGCCGTGTACCTCGGACACGGCCGATGACAGATCTGTGTACCGGCCCCGTTGCCAGTACCATGTGACCTGCTGTGACCAATCACAGCAGGTCACATGAGTTGAATACAATGGATGGCTTCCTATCATGCCATTCATTGTATACAAGTGTGGCTAGCTGTGAATGGTCACAGTGATCACATGCACAAGCTGGGCCAATCACAGCCCAGCTGTGTCATGTGATTAGCTGTGGTCAAATCACAGTTAAGAAAAAAAAATCCTGAATGAATCGATGTCATTCAGGTAAATGCTTGCTTATAGTGATTCTTTGCTAAAAGTGCCCGGTATGGAAGTGGTTAATAAAAATCTTCAAAACACCATATACAGCAGGAGACACTGTGGGAGCAAGGAAACAGTCAACGCGTTTTATGCTGCTAGTACTTTCTCATGACTTCGTGAATAAATAGGCACTAGCAGCATGCAAGGTGTTGCCTGTGTTTCCTTGCTCCCATGGTGTCTCTTTCTGCTGTATATGGTGTTAATAATATGGATGCAGTTTTCACATGTGCATCCCTCTGGATCCTGTTGCATTGGTCTCAGTTTAAATCAGTTACATCAACCCAAATAGCATACAAAGTCTTACATTTCATTTTCCTTAAAAAGCAACCACAGAATGAGTAGAAAAAGCCGTCCCTGCCAGCATGCTGTGGAGGATTCTTGCTTACAGGAAGCAGTAACCCCTCTGCAGAGGTATACCTGTAACTCTACACTCAGCAAAGCTAATGCTCCCTTCTGATTTGAGAACTAGAACTCAGCAGGGGAAGGAGGGGGGTAGCTGGACCTTTGCAGAGAGACTACTGCTTCACCACAAACAGCAGGGGTCCTTCTCTACACAATGGCAAGGGACAGACTTTTCTCAAGCGATTTGCTTTCTAAAGAAAACAAAAATGCCACGCAATAACACACCCAAAGTTAGGGCAAGCCATTCATTTGGGTGGGCTACCTAACACACCAAAAAGGTGCAAGTGGCATTTTCTGCAGTGGAAAAGTGCGTTGGCATAGTATTCAGAATGAGTGGCCGTGTATCAAACCAATGTGTATAATAGGAGAGTGTGAACAGGACCTGAGACTTTGCACAACTTTTGGTTTAGATGCATTTAGAGGACCAAAACTACAAAGTTCAGCAGAGACACAAAACAATATCCTTTCGCCTCAAAAATAATCCATATATATTTACTAATTAATGGCCCTGTAATCTATTTCTCAGGAAATCATTTCTTGCTGTTTTAATTCCTCCTTATAATGTCTTCTGCAAACTCCAGAACCTCTCCTTTTCCCCCTTCACTTCATTTTTGTTTGGAACAAGCAACGCACACTAGTTGCAGTCATGTGTACTGCTCTCTGCACACTACAAATCCCATAGTTCATAGTCCATCTCAGGAGTGAGCAAGAGAGGGTGGTTATGTTCCTAACAGGAAGTTGGATCACAGCAATTAAAGTACTTTCTGAGTTTAGAAAACATATTAAATAGAATGTTTTTTTTAACCAGAGTTTAGTGTCACTTTGAGCATCTATTGTGACCAGTAGAGAACCTCACAGTACAATCAGGCACAGGCATTCCATAGGCCCATTAGTAAGCAAAATCTGAACATCCGTACCCTCTCCACAGATACAATAATGGCTTGTTCACACAGGCAGCCCGGATGGGGGGTGGTAAAATAAGACAGTAGAGCAGTGCTTTTACCAGCCTCCAATTGCCCACAAAAACACATCCATACAGCCACAGTAAAAAGCTAAATGGCATTTCACATTTGGCAGTCAAGACCACCACTGAATGTGACTCATTCAAGAGAATGTACCACACTGCAACCACATGAAATGAATGTGGCTGCGGTGCAGTGAGTCTGCATTTTGAGGGTTACAGCGGTAATTAGGGGGTATATCACCTCCTGATTGCCTATCAAATGCCCCCTGAAAAGGGACAAGCGCAGATCACTTTTCAGACCTTGTTCACATGAAGCGATTACGTCTGTGTCCCGTACAAGGCTGTGTTTGCCGGCATAGAAATGTACAGGTGTTATGTGGATCCCCGTACAGGCAGTCCCATAGATATCTAATGGGACACGTGGCTGCACAGACATAGCCTTTATCCCAATGTGACATCCATGTGGTGCACAGCCCAGAACACACCCAAGGTGCGGTGTCCGTGTGTCCCAATAGACATCTACGGGACTACCAGCACAAGGATGCATGCAACACCTGTGCTGGCAAAACATGGCCGTGCACAACACATGGAAATAAACACCTGAGGACTAGCAAAAGCACTGCCGCCCATCAGAACGAGCCCTAAGAGCTTACAATTCACGTACAGAAGAGAACAAGAAAGGAAACCAATCTGCTGACATTGCACCGTCTTTTAGTATTACATTGATCAGAGAGCAAATATTCAATAGAGAAGATGGGACTTTCAGGGTGCATGGACATGAATACCACACATTAAAAGTTATATAATTTTTATTTCGTATTTTTGTAAAAAACACAAGAAAAGAAAAAATACAAAAACATAACAATTTCAGTTCTAAGAATACCAACTGAGATTCAAACTTGGTTAGGTAAATGTAGTTACTCCCTACATGTTTCGCCCTCACGGGCTTCTTCAGGGGAGATTTTTTGAGGAAATGTTTTTTTTTTTTTAAGAAGCCCGTGAGGACGAAACATGTAGGGAGTAACTACATTTACCTAACCAAGTTTGAATCTCGGTTGGTATTCTTAGAACTGAAATTGTTTTTGTATTTTTTCCTTTCTTGTGTTTTTTACAAAATTACAAAATAAAAATGATATAACTTTTAATGTGTGGTATTCATGTCCATGCACCCTGAAAGTCCCATCTTCTCTATTGAATATTTGCAATTTTAAGGGATGTGGTGCAATAATATCTGGTCACCCGCTCACCACTACACTGTTTCTATTGATCAGAGAGGTTGAGACGAGCTTCACATTTTCACACGTTCCCATAAAGTTTTCCAAAAAGAAGAAAACTGCTGGGAAAACTGATGACAATCCCGGTTTTGCTGGCGATGTCCATTAAAATCAGGTTATGCTGGTCACGTCTCCAATTTGATGTTTTGTGTGGTGCTCTGATGCTACACATTTCATATGAATACAGACTGGTGTGTCAATACCAGACCGGATATCGGTCTGCAACCTTGTACAGCCTTGTGTGCTCTTCATTGCCAATACTTTGGTTCTAACAGATAATCTGGGTATGATGAAAACCTGGTGATGTCCCAGAAGAATAATTTGACTCCATACTTGATAATCCCAGGAACCTTTTTTTTTTGTTTGTTTTCTTCAAGTGGCCTACCTGAACAAAGTATGTTACCCAACCAGTGGGCAATAGCAGAAGATAACATCAAAGGCTTGTGTCTGCTGTCTCAGGTTTTATGCTGGGAGGCTCCGACATGGTGTCCGGTTGGCCATCCCGGCAGAAGAGCACAGCTGGGTTCTTACAGGCCCACATGGCCACATCCCCACCGTTGGCCGGACTGGACGAGGACACCCGGCTGCCTTGCCCGTGTCTGTTGTTATAGCGATCTCGGACAGGGTCAGCCCTACCCCTGACCTCCCGGTTCTGACCCTGTGTGCACAGGTAAGCGGCAATGTTCCTAGTCCTGTAGCCCTGCTCTCGATTGCGCCCCAGCAGCATGGAGATGTTGGGGTTGCGGATGGCGTAGATGAGCGGGTTGATGGCCCCGTTGGCCCATGCCATCCAGATGGCCACGGTGTCCATGAGCGGCGTGAAGGGGTAGTCTCCAGCAGCGGCCACCAGGCCCATGACACAGTAGGGCCCCCAGCAGCAGATGATAAAGACGATCATGATCAGCACGGTGGTGGCCGTCCTCATCTCGCTGTAGAATCGCAGCAGGTGGGCGTAGGTGGTGACGGGTCGGACGCGGATCTCCGACAGTCGCACCGCCTTGCAGATGTTGTAATGGCAGAAGCACATGAGGCCGAAGGGCAGGAGGTAGCAGAGCACAATGAGTGAGATGCTGTAGGTGGCCCCCAGCCTGGAGCCGGCGGAGTGGAACACATACATGCAGTGGTAGTAGCCCCTCTTGTGGACCACCCACTGCTCCTTGGCTAGCAGGTACCAGGGGAAGGAGAAGCCCAGGGCCGCCAGCCAAGCCCCAGCCAGCAGTTGTGCCGCCCTGGTGCGCCCCATCTTCTCCCGGGGCTGGCGGACGATGGCGTAGTAGCGGTCCAGGCTGATGAGGGTCATGGTCAGGGTGGAGACGATGCCGAAGCAAGAGTTGAAGAAGCCATTGGCGAAGCAGAAGCGGTCCCCGAAGAGCCAGGCCCCGCCCCGGGAGAAGAGCAGCACGAAGGAGAAGGGGAGGCACAGCAGGGCGCTCAGGAAGTCGGACAGCGACAACGACAGGATGAAGGCGTTGGTGACGGTGCGCAGCTGCCGGTGTTTGGCGATCACTAGGATGACGGCACAGTTCCCCAGGCACGACAGCAGGAAGATGGCCAGCAGCAGCAGAGCCTGGCACGCTACGGCCACCCCGTGCACCAGCGGGCTGCCGCCCCCTCCCCCCACCGCCCCCTCCTCAGCCGGCTCCGGGGAGCTCCGGTTGGTGCCGGTGGCCGGGCCCAGAGCGGAGGACGCGCCGTCCCTTCCCCCGGACGCCGTGCCGGTGTTGCTCGGGCCGCCCAGCGCCGTCAGGTTGTCGAGCAGAGCCAGGTGGAGCTCCATGGGTCGCGGTGTGGCCGGGTGGAGGCATCCCTCAGGCGGCCCGCTCACAGTCCCGGGGATGCTACCAGCTCGAGCTCGCCGGGATCTGCGGGTGACGTCACCCCCGGTTACCAGGGCAACGCCAGCTCCGCCGGGCGGCTTCTACGCAAAAAGAGTGGAGGGGCGTTAAAGGGCCCCGGACCTTCATCTAAACAGCGGCCCTATAGGGCTCCGTGTACATGGCGGGCTGGGAGCGCTGCCTCACCTCCAGAGGAGTCTCCTCACCGGGGCACGAAGCATGGTGCCAGCTGACCTTCATTCCGAGTCTAGTCCCTCTGTGCCCTTCATTTCCTGATCATTGGATACAAAATGTGCCATTTATCTATCAGAAAGTGTGTCCGGGGCCAGGGCCGGACTGACCATTTGGAAACTCGGGCACTGTCCGAGGGCCCGGGGTCAGTAGGGGGCCCCATGAGATGCCCCTGGTACCTTTTTCATAGGCTTTTTTGAGTTTGGGCAAGGACACAGGGGCCCCATGATCCCCTATTGCCCGGGGGCCCCATGACTTGTCAGTCCGCCCCTGGTCCGGGCGGAACGTTTCATGTAACGGCTACGGTGCTGCGTTTGTACGTTCCTGAGCCAATAGAACGGAATCGTAGAGGTCAAACAACCACTTGTGGGTTCCCGACAGTCTGTAGAATTCTCCTTTAACCCCATGCCCTCCTGAGGATTCCCCCCTTCCTGACCAGGCCTTTTTTTTTTTTGCAATACAGCGTTGCGTTATTTTCACAATTGCGCGGTCATGCAACGCTGTGCAAAAATGAAATTTGTCCTTTTTTCCCACAAATGGAACTTTCTTTCGGTGGTATTTAATCACCTCTGCGTTTTTTAATTTTTTGTGCTATAAACCAAAAAAAGACCAATTTTGAAAAAAAAAAACCAAAAAACTATTTTTGACTGTTTGCTATAAAACATGTCCAGTAAAAATTTTTTTACAAATTTACATTCTTCATAACTGTCGTCCAAAATGTATTCTGTTACGTCTTTGCTAAAAACAGAAATCCTAATACGTGTAAAGTAATTGGTTTACATGAAAGTTTTAGCGTCTACAAATGGCGGTATAGATACTGGAATTTCTTTTTTTTTTTATAAAGTTTTCAATGGGGAGCTGACTAACTGCCACTGATATCCCCAGTGACACTGATACAGTGATCAGTGCTAATAAAAAGCACACTGTACTAATGGCACTGGGCAGGAAGGGGTTAACATCTGGGGCGATCAAAGGGCCAACTGTGTGCTGGTTTACTATGTGTTGTGTGTGTTTTACTACAGAGATATGCAGGAGAGTTGAGGTTAATGTTTTTCCTAGATCTTTCATTGGCGGATTTAAAAAGGGGCAGTGGTCCAGAGCGGAGAGCCCAGGGGTTGAAGAGAGGCCCCAAGTCTGGTGTGACGGAGGAGGTCACTGGAACCTGGGGTTCGCCCCCCACCGTCATCAGTCACTAATAAACCTGATTATGTATGGACTCTACTTTTGCAGGTATGCCAAGGCAGCACCTAAGCCTGAGTTAGGTTTAGGGACTTCGGAAAAAGACTGTTCGTATCTGTGGGACTTTGCCTTCTGCCTGGTCTGAAGTACTTTAAGGGAATGAAATGCAAGAAACCTGCACATTGCTACAGTTCTAGGTCACTATCATTTTGGGGTATGAAGAGTCAGCACTAATCAGAGTTGTCATGGTGCAGTACTACATGTGATTGCCGTGGGCAACAAGAGTCTACAGTCAGTTAATGCAGTCGGTAGTGAGTACTTTTTATAGGTGGACTAGCCTCTAGCCGCAAGGGAGATGTTGTCGGCACTCCTTCCGCTGCAGTCTGTCTCCCTTAACAACAGAAGTGGACTCACACCGCAGAGATCCCTATTGTGTACAGAGGTACAGAAGCTCAGTCCATTCAAGTGCATGTGTGGAGCCCACACTAGGGTTCACATCTGGGGCGATCAAACTGTCAAGTGTATGCCTAACAGTGCTTTGTGTGTGTACTTTTACTAGGGGATGCTTTACAGGGAAACAGAAATCGGCACATCCCCACTGACAGGGCAGAGCTCTATATTGTTTACATACACAGAGCTGTGTCCGGTCAGCCTCTTCACTGATCACCGAATCCTGGCCATAAATCACAGCACAGCCAGGGCAGCCGATGCAGATGCGTCTACTACCCAGAAGAACTTGATCATGTACTAGGTACATGATCCAGCACAGGAGAGCCGCATTGCTGCCGCACATTTATGTGATGCAGTAGGCAGACTGTTAAGTATTCCCCCGCGGCAGCCTCAGCCTTGTCTCAGGGCATTGATGAAAATGGCAGAGTAAAGGTACCCCATATGTGTGAAGTTGAGTGGTCCTGTTACAGGTGTCTAGCATAGCCCAGAAGAACCCACTCCAGGGGTAGTCCTTTACATGTAACCAACACTTGGCACCCAACGAGGAAAACCCATCGTCAGCTACTTCCTGCCCTACTGACAATTTGGCATCCAACGTGGGGCTAAGCCTATTGCATGCACTTGAAGATCACCCCTAAAGAGACCATGGCATAGCTAGCTAGTTGGATCTTTTTCAGGCCTGCTAGGTGATAGAGCACATGCTAATCATGTCTGAACCCTGATTGGCTACTGCACAAGGTACACTGGATTTGTGGGCATCCTGATATAGGGGGGCGTATAAAGCAACTGCACCTGGAATACGCGCAGACTCCTCCATGTTTGCTGCTAGCCGACACTATGGCTGATTAGACTGTGCCTTGGAAAAAGCCCCCCAATTCTGATCAATATGGGAGGCTGGTATGTTTCCACACTGGGTTTCGCCCTCTGCCAGGTCGATCCTAGGGAGGAGTTGTGGGTACTCTGCCCGTTATGCTGGTCTGTGATGACCTGCTGTTCCAGCGAATGGTCGAGAAGCCCTGTGTGATCATGCCAGACCATCTTCCAGAAATTACTGTTGCCAGAAATGACGGTACCATCGAGCTTCTAGTTAAGATATTGCAACTTGGTGCCAGCTCTGCGACTGGGAAGGCCTCCCCCATTGCAGCCAGGGGTTGAGCAGCCATCCTACACTGCTTCAGTATACCTTGCACCCCTTCAGGAGGAATCATACTGTCCTGTGGAGGTCCTCTTTGAAGAATTTCCACCTTCTCCCATCGCCAATTCCAGGGATGAGGAAGATGGACTGGACAGCTCAGGCTCACTTCTTGACTTGCCGCTACCAGACATAGGACAACCACCCTTACTGGAATACACGCCACCTCGGGAATCTCTGCTTGTCTATGAAACACCACATTACCGAGACTGGCCAAAAAGAATATTGTGGGATTGTTCACATCCCCCTCTACCATGGGCATCATTAACATCTACTTCAGCTCTGATGGAGTGTATGGGATATAAATATTTCTGGCCAACCGATGCTTAATTTCTGCAGTGGTCACTACACCATAAAACGCAGATTACCCGTCTAACACAGCTCCAGTGGTACATGGAACAACATGTACACACCAAGTACAGGAGGATATTTCCTTATGTCCCAGAACAGTTGTTTTTACAGTTGGAGGAAAGACCTAAAATCTACCGGAAATTGGTTTGGAAGAAAGTACTGGTACTTGGAGGAAAGACCTAAAATCTACCGGAAATTGGTTTGGAAGAAAGTACTGGTACTTGGAGGAAAGACCTAAAATCTACCGGAAATTGGTTTGGAAGAAAGTACTGGTACTTGGAGGAAAGACCCTAAATCTACCGGAAATTGGTTTGGAAGAAAGTACTGGTTCAGAAACACTTGCAGGGACTTTACCAAGCAGAATGAATATGTGAAGGCAGTGTAACAGTTCTGCGCAATAGGGACATGGAACCTGTACGTAACAGCCATCTTGTTAAGGTCTCATGAGCAGTGTTCCTACCCACCCCCCTTTGCAAACTATGGATTTTTAGCTGTAACTTTTAAGGAATGTCAAATGAACCTCTTATCTTAATTAAAGCACAAATAGACACAGTGTCCAGACCTGACCAGAGCTGTAAACAGCTAATTAGTCTTGGCAGGAGGTCTGTTTCCACAAACCATGAAAAAACACTTCCTCTGCCCTATCGTAAAACCATAATAACTCAGTCACACATAATGTGTAAGGCCATTTAAGCTCTAGGAATGCAGAAAGTGCCATAAAATGTCTATTCCACAACCTAACAATTCCACATAGAATTCAACAGGAACAGGACACAATAATATGAGGTATATATTTGAATGGCAAATATCATACCAAATAAATCAAGGTCATACTACCCTAGCACATACGAAAGGGGAGAAAGCAGTTTCCTCCCGCCTGAGTGACAAAGGTGCACTGTGTTTGGTATCCCTGGATAATATAATTCTGAATAATATTCTGCCATGTTCTAGAATACCACCTGCATGTAGTGGAAGTTAATAATATTAGTGTAAAACTGTATTTGGGAATTGGTCGTAAACATGGTGGCCTCCCAGCACCCATCCCTTAAACCAGATTATTGG